ACTGAAGACTCAACAACAGTCAAGTCAACACATAATTGGCCCTGCATTTAACACAAGATGCGATCACACAAAAGCAATCAATCACAGAACAACCCTCAAGACAAGGCAAATGCCCAACTAGGTAATCAACCAGAATGATTACGCTTAGACACGACTAAGTCTATATATAATGCATTTCCTTTTACTTTCCGTTAAGGTCTGGCGGTACCGAGGACTGTTCCCGTTCCTCTCTGGATTGTAGACACAAAGTCTAAACTAATCCGAGTTTTACCTGAAACTCAATACACCGTCGTGTATCCACGGCCCTAGGAAGCCAACCAGAAATGATGGTACATGTCCAAGATGCGCGCAGCACCCATTGCGTCTTTCCTAAGAACGTCGGACCGACTCTAGTTTGATTATTACATGCATGTTCCTACCTAACATGCAAATAACCACAACCTGGTCTTTTTCTAGTTAAGTTCTACCGAACTTAACTTGAGACAAATGCAAATACTTTTTACTAAGTACGTGATAACCTGTACTACGTACTTCCCTCTAAGTACGTGACCCTTTATCACATACTTCACCGCAAGTATTTAACGCAACATGTAATACACACATGCAACAAGAAATACAATTCTTACTTAGCAAAATTAACACAAAATTGTTAAGAACCTCAGGATCATAAATCATACAACCATGCATGATGTCCAATCCGGAACATCCCTTGCATGTAACCAATTGTATGTACTAAAATCGTTAGTACTGCACGCAATATTACGAAGACTCACTACCATTACCGATCACACATGCACATGCAATCCTATCAGTTTCCCTTAGTGAAATCAGTCACACATGCATAAAATCCTAGCATGAACTGGACGATTATAAGGCATTTATAACAAACAATCCCGTGTGATCGACTCATCATCACACAGAAAATATCACCGCACTCACAGATTTGGCTAGGACTTGTGCTACGGCACCGACTGTCCCGCTCGCCATCTTAGATCCCCGGATCCTAAGCCACCAAAACCGAGTTACCCATGACTCGATCTACCTTGGTTTTACCTTGAAAATCCTTCCCCACATACCAAAAATAGGATATTTCGCTAAGGGTAAGGGTTTTATCGAATTTCGCAGCATAAGGGTAAGGAGTACGTGTTTTGGGTCGGAAAATCTACCCATGGGTCGTATTTTATAGGCTGAAGGGTAAGGATCTCGATCAAAAATTAATTCTGACATGTGGAGGCATTTCTGACACGTGTCGCGGCGTTCTGCCGCATGCCTGACATGTGTCTGACACCTATCAGACTCGTGTCAACAGTTCCTGCCGTCCACATAGAGCCCAACACGTCCTGACTTACTCGCGCTCGATCCACGACATACTGTCTCGTGTTACGACACAGTGCTGTCTCATCCGCGACACGAATGGCTCAGCCCACAGTCCGTTTCTCGACCCCGATTCAAATTCCCTCGATAGAATCCAGATTTTCTTCGACCAAAACTCTTCTTAGGACTTGGAAAATCTATGGTTTCCCTTGGCCGTCTCGACGTCGCGACCAACCCATGACTTTCGGTAACTCCACCGCATCTTTCCTTTGAGATTTTCCTTCCATAACACTTCTTTTCTAAGTCTTTCTTTGCCGTTTTACCACTTTAGGCCTTGTTCCCTGAGAATTGTTAGAAGCAGTAACTCTGCCGTTCTTAGCCCTTATGAGGGTTATTACAGATTCAGTCTTGTTTCGAGTACATCTAGAGGGATGAGGAGAACGTAGTTCAGAGAAAATGGAGTGCTACAAAACGTAGTTCAGGAACTGAGACATGCAGTGCTACAGAGATTGAAAGTTGAGTCTGACGAATTCACATCTAGAAGGTACGTCTATGACAAGGCCACCATGTCTTGAGTCTAATAATTATGGATATTGGAAGGTTCGTATGGAAGCCTTTATTRGTGGTCTTGATGAAGATTGTTGGAATGCGATTGAAGTTGATTGGTGATATGATCATGGACGAGAGAACCAAAGAAAGTAATGGAGAAAAAGTTATGGATCAGCTTGAAGCAGAGAAGAACACGGAT